CCAGCTCCTCTCTCTCCATTCCCAACTCCCTTCTCCCTTCTCCCCGTTCCCCTCTCCCTACTCCCAGCTCCTCTCTCCCCATTCCCAGCTCCCCATTCCCAGCTCCCCTCTCCCCTCTCCCAGCTTCCCTCTCCCCTCTCCCAGCTCCAGTGTCTCCTCTCCGAGCTCCCCTCTCCCAGTTCCCCTCTTCCCTCTCCCAGTTCCCCTCTCCCAGCTCCCCTCTCCCCATTCCCAGCTCCCCTCTCCCAGCTCCCCTCTCTCCATTCCCATCTCCCCTCTGGGAGCCACCACAGCCCCACTGACAGGCTCCCGTGGCCCCTCTCCCCCCCTTTCCCCCAGCCCGGCGCGGACCCTTCCCCGCAGCGCCTCCAGTTTCGAGGGTCGCAGCGTCCCGGCCACGCCCGTCCTGGCCCGAAGCCCCTGCGCCCGCGGCCACCCCCTGGGCCGGTGAGCACCGCGGGGGGAAAAAGGGCTGGGGGGGCTTTGGAAACCCCTCACCCTGTCCGTGACCCTGCTCTGTGTGTCCCCCCCTCCCCAGCCCCAGCCCCGAGGTGGTTTGGGGGCAGTTTGGGGGGTGAGGGGTTGCTCTGGAGGCCCCCCCAACCCCTGTGTGTGACCCCGCTCTGTGTCCCCCCTCCCCAGCCCCAAGGTGGTCTGGGGGCAGTTTGGGGGGTGAAGAGGGACTCTGCAGGCCCCCCGCCCTCTGTGTGACCCCGCTCTGTGTGTCCTCCCCCTCCCCAACCCCAGCCCCGAGGTGGTTTGGGGGCGGTTTGGGGGTGCTCTGAAGGCCCCCCACCCTGTGTGTGACCCTGCTCTGTGTGTCCCCCCCAACCCCAACCCCGAGGTGGTCCTGGGGGCAGTTTGGGGGTGCTCTGGAGGTCTCCCCAGCCCCCGTGTGTGACTCCCTTCTCTGTGTCCCCCCCCGCAGCCCCAACCCCGAGGCTCCGGGGTTGCCCCCCCGGCCCTGGTCGGGCAGCCAGGACTCGCAGCTGGGGGGGCCCCCCGCCCCTGGCCCCCCCCTCCCGACGGCCCCCCGGACCCGCCGCAGCAACAGCTCCGAGGCCTTGATCGACTGGGGGGGCCCCCCCGCCAACGCCGACAGCACCCCCGAAGCCTCACGGGGCCCTTGGGGGGGCGGGGGCCCCCCCAACCCGCACCCCCACCCTCACCCCCCCTCGTCGGCCGAGCAGCAGCGGCGCAGCCAGAAGTGGTTGGCGCTGGAGGGGCTGCGGGACTGGTACCTGCGGCACACGGGGACCCCCCCGGCGGCCCCCCACAACAACCCCCGGGGGTCCCTGCTGCCCCCCCATCCCCCCGGGCCGCCCGCCTGGGCCCCCCCTCCCCGACGCCGAGACCCCCCCGGCCTGCCCCACTCGCTGAGCTACGCCGGGGCCCTGGCGCCCAGGTACGGGGCACCCCGGGGGTACCGCGCGCCCCTCTTTTAGTGGGGGGGTCTGGGGCGATGGGGGGAGAGACCTGGGGGGTGGGGGGGCTGAAATACCCGGGTTGGGGATCCCCTGCCCGTTGGGGAGCATTGTGTGTTCCCTGTCTGAATGTCCCTCCCTGTTTTGGGGACACCCCCACCCCCAATATTTTTGGGACCCCCTGTGCCTTGGGGAGCACTGTGTGAATGTCCCCCCCCTGTTTTGGGGACCTCCCATCCTTTGGGACCCCTCCCTGTTTCAGGGACCCCCCCCCAATGTTTTTGGGACCCCCTGTGCCTGTATGAATGTCCCTCTGTGTTTCAGGGACCCCCCCCATCTTTTGGG